AACCAACTGAGCCACCCAGGCGCCCTACATTAATTATTTTTTAAGCTAAGGCATTATTAGTTCTCAAACAGTTCCAATTTATTATTCCTCTCAAGTATCCTGTAACAACTCTTCCACAGAATAACACTAGCAGCTAACATTTGTAAATAATTACCATGTGCTATGCGCTATGCCTGGGTTATCTCAATACAGCCGTCCTGTGAGGAGGGACCATTTTTGCCCCCATTTTACTGAGGTCCGGAGAAGTTACATGACTTGCCCCAGGTTGCCCAGCAGAAGGACCAGGACTACAATCCAAGCCAACCTGACTCCAGGACCTACATTTAACCACTATTTTACCCTCTCTGCCACCCCACCAAAATGTGTGCTACATTTCCAAACTGTAGTAACAATACTCCATTATTTCAGGAAGGAGGAGAGATGCCAGGGTGTTTGTGTGAAGAAAAAGAAATCATTCCTAAGGGGGAAAGGAGAGCCAACAGCCAAACTACAGCTGTAGCAATGGGCTGGTGTGTGGTTTCCCTAAAATCATTTCATGGGCTTTCTAGTAGAATTGTCAGTAATCTCTTGAAAACTGCTCAAAAACTACCAATGGTCATATTTCCCTATGTTGAGGAACCTAGTCTAAAATGAAAGCCTGGGACGCCTAGGTGGCTCAGTTGGTTAAGCGTCTGCCTTCAGCTCGGGTCATGGTCCCGGGGTCCTGGGATCCAGTCCCGTGTTGGGCTCTCTGCTCCACGGGGAGCCTGCTTCTCCCTCTCCCTCTGCCTGCCGCTCCCCCTGCTTTGTGACCTCTCTCTCTGATAAATAAATAAAATCTTTTTTTTTTTAAGATTTTATTTATTTGACAGAGAGATAGAGAGAGAGCACAAGTAGGCAGAGAGGCAGGCAGAGGGAGAGGGAGAAGCAGGCTCTCCGCCGAGCAGGGAGCCGGACGTGGGGCTCGATCCCAGGACCCCGGGATCATGACCTGAGCTGAAGGCAGATGCTTAAACCAACTGAGCCACCCAGGCGCCCCAATAAATAAAATCTTTGAAAAAATAAATAAAAATAGGGGCGCCTGGGTGGCTCAGTTGTTAAGCGTCTGCCTTCGGCTCAGGTCATGGTCCCAGGGTCCTGGGATCGAGCCCCGCATCAGGCTCCCTGCTCGGCGGGAAGCCTGCTTCTCCCTCTCCCACTCCCTCTGCTTGTGTCCCCTCTCTCGCTGTGTCTCTCTCTGTCAAATAAAATCTTTAAATAAATAAATAAATAAATAAAAATAAATTTAAAAAAATAAAATGAAAGCCTGATGTGACCTTTAGAAAGCAAAACGGGAGAGCCCTTGGGACTCTAAGGGCAAAGCTCTATAAGAGAGTAATTTAACAAGCTGGTTCCTGTGGGTCTCAAGTTTATAAGAAATCAGAATAACTCAACACCAGTGACAATAACTAGCACCCACTAAGTTTTTGCTCCATACCAGTATTACTGTCACCCACAATTTACGGAGGAGCAAGCAGATGACATACTAGTGACTACATCTGAGGACAGCAGTAGGCCCCAGCTGTTTACCCCAATGAAGTGGAGACCCGTGTTATTCTGGAGAGCTAGCCTACCAGCTCTTGCCAGAGGAAGAGAAGCAGATATGCAAATATGCTAGGCTGAAATAAAGCAAGTTTTCAGTGAGGCACACAGTGAGGCACTGAGGGTAAGTGGCCAGGGAAGCTCTCTCAAAGCAGCCCGGTGCTTACGATCAGGTAGGGCACTTGTGGGAGGCTGGCCCAGGTTCAGAGCACACCTGCAGAGCACGCGCTTCCTGGTCTCCTTGGCACGAACCTTCCTCAACAGGTCTTCCAGTTTGCTGGATTCCTCAAAGTGAACCCCTAGGTCCTCATCCTCGGCTGTGCTGATGATATCTCGGTAAAACAAGGATATGTCAAAGCCCCCACGTTTCCTCAGGTGCATCAAGTCCAGGAAGATACCTGGGGCAAGGAAAACAAACAATTTTCGGCAAGCGAGAATTTTTTTCAGTTAAGCCCAAATATGCAAAGAAATAGATGGATTATTAACATTTTCGGGATGTATAGAATGGCTAAGGGAATGAGCTGCTATAAGGACAACTTATTCAATAGGCTCTGCACCCAATGTGGGGCTCAAACTCTCAACCCCAGGATCAAAAGTTGAATGCTCTACTGACTGAGCCAGCCACCACGCGGGGTAGAGCCCTTCAGAAAGCGAATGGCCTTTGGTTAAACGTTCGACTCTTGATTTCAGCTCCGGTCATGATCTCAGGGTCGTGAGACTGAGCCCCGAGGCAGGCTCCACACTCAGCAGGGAGTGTGCGTCTCTCTCTCCTTCTCTCTGCCCCTCCCCCTGCTCATGCGCACGCTCCTCTCTCTAAAATAAATAAATCTTTTTAAAAAAGAGAGAAAGTGAATGGCCTCATCATTTTCAGTAGGAATATTACACAGGTATCTCCCCCTGGCTTCATTTTATTCTTTCATTTCACGCTCAGTGGAGAAAAACAAATGTTTGACATCCGCTATAAAGAAGCAGTAAGATTAAGTGCCAATTTAAAAGAACAGGGAAAATGCCAACCTGTGTCACGGAGATCCCCAGCTTTGGTCCTGGCCCGGCTGGCTTTGGCACTGTCATTGCCATGGGGGTCATCTTCATTGGTGAACAGCATGATCCTCTTATGGCTCATCTTGACCTGGACATCGCTAAACAGGTTGGCACAGACCCATAGCACTTCACTTAGTGAGTAGTCAGATCCATGGCCAATTAGGTCTTGGAAATGTTTTTTCCCCTGCTCCCCTTTAAACTGGTCAAGCTCAAGCACTCGTTTAGCACCTGATCAGAGAGACAGGGAAGTCAAGCAGGCAGAAAAATCAGAACAGAGTCAGTGCCGCATTTATCAGGCTAACAGAAGAGCCGAGGTCCCGTTCTCACCCCAAAAGTGTTCAACCCATAAAGTCCACATCCCAGGAAGAACCCTCCTGTGCAGGAAAGCATACTCTTAGTCAAGATGCCATCTACTTCCTTCTCCACATCCTTCTTTGTTCAGGGTAGTGACCTTCCAATGTAAGGGAAAAGCTGATCTTACACCTCTACTGACCTGGATTATCCAACTCCTGTAAGACGTAAATATTTTTGAAATTCACTGAATTTTTATCCTTCTCAGTACCATAGAACACCACTGCCAAGAGATCTTGATCACTGCTTATGATCTTATTGGTATACACACTCTGGATACACTGACAAAATCAAAACAAAAATGCAATTAATATTTAACTTGCCATTAAATTTAAACTCCATAAGTGCCTGGCACATAGTAGGTGCTTGATATATTTGCTGAATCTGTACATGGCATTAGATTGAGGCATGACCCCCACCTTCAGGAAAGTCATGAATCAGCGAGAGGGACAGGCATATATATTATGCTATAACAAAAGGCAGAGTGTGTTAAGTATATAACGGAAGTATAAGTAGTTCCGACGATAAGAAAACAGAGAATTAAAAACACGTATTAGTCAGGGAGGAAATTCTGCTATAAGAGGGAAAAACAGCCCAGTATGGGACTCAGAAAACCTGGACTGAATCCCACTGATGTCATTTAGTTAATTGACTGAGTTTGTAGAGGCCACTTGATCTTCCCTCAAGCAGCTTGAGACCAAGAAACAGAACGTACATATGTAAAATAATTATGTATGTGAAAGGTTTTAGCTAACAATAAGTAGATGTGACCCAACAATAAGTCCATAACTGCTAACAGCATCTTTTTTTTCCTAACAGCATCTTTTAGAATAAAATTTGCTTAATTACACAATTAATGATGCCAGTATTCCAGGAAAGTCCTGTCTACCCATTTAAACTAATGTTAGCATCTGGTAAATCAGTGTCTCGTAAGAGCTGCTCAGTCCTGTGACCTACTTAATTCTGGAGGGCACTGACAACATCCAGTTTCTGAATCTACAAAGCTGAGAAATAATGCAACCATGGTTGACACCTCCCACCCTGTCCCCATGTCGGGTCTGAGACTCTACCCAGCCTCCCTCAACAGTAATTCTCTCCTTAAATGCAGAACTTCATGTATGTCTACTCATCGACAATAATCTGCATGGCAAGTAGTTATTTCTACAAGTATTTTAATCTACCCTTTTCCTTTATTGAAGTATAGTTATAACACAACGTTACCTTAGTGGCCGGTGTACAACACAGCGATCTAACAAGTCTATGCATTATGCTGTGCTTGCCATCTGTCACCATATAAAGCTATTACCATACCACTGACTATATTCCTTCTGCTGTACTTTTCATTCCCACAACTTTCTCTTTTTTTGACAGAGAGAGAGGTAATGAGAGCAGGAACACAAGCAGGGGGAGTGGGAGAGGGAGAAGCAGGCTTCCCGCTGAGCAGGGAGCCCAATGCAAGGCTCGATATGATGCCCCAGGCTGAAGGCAGGCTCTCAGCGACTGAGCCACCCAGGCGCCCCTCATCCCAACTTTTAATCTACTTTGAGTAGTCTCTAAACATTTACAAAAATTTGGTGAGGGCTTCTTTTAGGTTCTAAGAATTAAAAATACAAAAAAAAAAAAAAATTTTTTTTTTTTGAGAAAATGTTTTTTCATTGCTTATCAAATACATTATACTCATCTGTGAATGTCTCACTTAGTTGCTACATAATACTACATTTTCTTCTGGGTTCTTTAGGCATTGAGGGTTCTAAGAACCCTCTGAAATTACACGTAGAAGTGTGAGTGTATCTTTTTGGAGATAGGGTACATAGCTTTCGCCACATCCTTCTTTTTTTTTGACAGAGAGAGATAGTGAGAGCAGGAACATCTGTGTTCCTGCTCTCACATGCTCAAAGGGGGTCACAATCCGAAAAAGGCTAAAGCAGTGATCCTCAAAAAGTGATCTCCAAACTAGCAACAGCAGCATCACCTGGGAACTTGCTGGAAATGCAAATTCTTGGTCCCAGCTCTAGACCTAATAGAACCAGAAATTCTGATTCTGGGGTAAGGCTCTGCATCTGTGCTAACAAGTCCTACAGATGATTCTGAAAACCACTGCTTTAAAGTTAAGGACTGGGGCGCCTGGGTGGCTCAGTCGTTAAGCATCTGCCTTCAGCTCAGGTCATGATCCCAGGGTACTGGGATCGAGCCCCGCATCAGGCTCCCTGCTCGGCAGAAAGCCTGCTTCTCCCTCTCCCACTCCCCCTGCTTGTGTTCCCTCTCTCGCTGTCTCTCTCTCCGTCAAATAAATAAATAAAACTTTTAAAATAAATAAATAAATAAATAAAATAAAGTTAAGGCCTATTCTCACTAATTCTTTTTCTAGATGCAAGATATTCTGATTTGCCAACCACAAGAACTGTTTATATACAAATCAGAACATCAGAAGCTTCTGTTTGGTTCCAAACTAAAAATATAAAACATAATATATATGATAAGTCTTCATAATTTATAATTTCTCTCTATAAAGAAATGGTAATCTTCTGGAGGTGGACTTCACATAACAAAATTAACCATTTTTATTTTATTTTTAAATAGGCTCCATACCCAGTGTAAGACCTGAACACAGAACCCCAAAATCAAGGGTCTCATGCTCTACTGACAGCCAGCCAGGAGCCCCCAAATTAACCATTTTATTTTATTTATTATTA